CCACTATATTTTCATTGTGTCAATCCCCCAATTGTTTCCTCAATACCGATCATTGTTCTTTTGAGCCTTGTAGCTCAAACCCTAATAATTACACACTCTCATCTGCTCAATATCACAAAGTTGCACCACGTTGCTTTACACCATCAACAATCATATAATTTGATTGGGAGAGAATCAATAAATAAACATAAACATGAAAGCTAAAGGCAGAAAGAAACAGAAGAAATCAGAATTACCTAGACCTGGAGAGCAACACCAAAACAGGATCACAATTACTGAATCCGAGATGACCAGTTGACAATGAATTATCAAACCATAGTTTTAAAATCCAACTCGTACATCAATCCAGAAGAGGAATTAGATCAATGATAATAAATAGATAAAAAAATGTGAAAATTGAAGTTAAATCCTCTTTAAGCAATTTAATGAGTTTAGTCCATCAAAAAAATTTATTTGGTAGTAAGTCTATTTTTAATCTTACTAATAAATAGTTAAGTCCACCATTTTTTTTAAACTCTAAAATGCCCCTTCTAATGACTTAAAAAACAATCTTCAACATTAAACAGTTTTCTAAATAGTCATCCTTGATTCACAATTAATTGAAGATTTTTTTTTTCCATAAAATCTGAAATTCAAATTTAAATTTGACATCATTACCGTTTCTCTCTCTCTCATATTTTTTCTTTCTAAAAAGATTATGATCAATATAATATTGAATGTTACTATATATGTTATTGTTTTTTTGTTGTGCATATTACTATTTTTTTTATGAGTATGTTACTATTAATATCGAATGTTACTATTTTTCCAAAATATTAATATTCAATGTTATTGTTATTTTTTTCAAATATTAATATTCAATATTACTATTTTTTATTTTTGAATGTTACTATTTTTTATTTTACTATATATATATATATATATATATATATATATTTGAGAGAGAGAGAAATAAATAGTTTTATTCTATACATTGGTATAGATAGATATGAAAGAGAGAGAATTTTAATGTTAATCAAACTTCTAAAATTTAGTTGTTAGTTTTTAAATTTGTTGTAATTAAATATAAGTAATGGTAGTATTTTGGACAATGAAGATCAAAATGAATTTAATATTAAACAAGTTTTCTTTATGAACTTATCACCAAATAAGTCCACAAAGGAGGATCGGCATCCAAATTTTCGTAAAAAATTATAACAATTATAAAAATAACATGCACATATGAAGAATAAGATTTCAAAAAACCAAAAATGCTTTCCTATATCATGCAGATATGAAGAATATCAGTAATTAGTATAAAAAAGTATAATTAATTATTAAGAATATCACCAAACAAACAACTACATATATGCTAACCAATACCACAACCCCACAATCCTAAGCCAACAGTCGAGATCAATAAAGTTGATCAAAATTCAACAATGGTTGCTTGTTGGGAGATTGAGAAACCAAATTCAAAGTAATCGAAGATAAATAATGAAGAAAGATAGAGAGAGAGAGAAATGGCAGAATGGTGGTTACATTTCTTTCGAAATGAGCCTTAATTGATGTTGTTGTAGTGGTGGTAAATCTGGGTTAATGGTGGTTGTGTGCTTGGTGATTGGTGGCGGCGCTGATGGAGATGTGTTATCCTTCAATTAATCTGGGTGGTTGGTGGCGGTTATATTCCTGCGAGTTTAAGAGACCAGATTCGAAGTCTTCAAAGACGAATTGTGAAGACAGAGAAAGAGAGAGAGATGGATGAGACTAAGAGATTGATCTAACAGATCCGAAGTCGAATAGTCTATTAGGGCAAAAATGCTCAAAATGTTTTAATTTACAATCCTTTTTTGACCCATTTGATTTGCATATATCCATCTGATTTGAATGGTTAAGTCAAAACTAGCCCAATTTGATGAGTCTTAACTGATTTTTATGTTAGAACGATTTAATCAGGGTACTGGCCCGGTTTAGTGCCCAGATTACCAATTTTTTGGGTCAACCGACGGGGGTGGGTTTTAAAACACTGCACTATACCAATTTCAATTCTTCTCTATAAACACATTGTTAAATTGAAAATCTTATGAAAAAATGGGTAACGAAAATATAATAACTGCCCTACCTCTTACTATTCACGCCAACATAGGGATCGCACATAAGTTTTGTCAAAATATGAAGGACCTTTTTTATACTAAACATTCAATAAAAATAAAGTTAATTTACACACCGAATGGGGACCTTAACCTAATTTCCTGTTTAAAATAAGCAAGGTATCCTATTCTGATGTACCTAAAAGAAAAAAAAAAAAAAAAGCAAGGTGCAATGGCCTACCTTATGGCTTGCTGTACTCTTTCCCTGGCCCCATTTTCGGATCCTATTTTNTTATTCTATACATTGGTATAGATAGATATGAAAGAGAGAGAATTTTAATGTTAATCAAACTTCTAAAATTTAGTTGTTAGTTTTTAAATTTGTTGTAATTAAATATAAGTAATGGTAGTATTTTGGACAATGAAGATCAAAATGAATTTAATATTAAACAAGTTTTCTTTATGAACTTATCACCAAATAAGTCCACAAAGGAGGATCGGCATCCAAATTTTCGTAAAAAATTATAACAATTATAAAAATAACATGCACATATGAAGAATAAGATTTCAAAAAACCAAAAATGCTTTCCTATATCATGCAGATATGAAGAATATCAGTAATTAGTATAAAAAAGTATAATTAATTATTAAGAATATCACCAAACAAACAACTACATATATGCTAACCAATACCACAACCCCACAATCCTAAGCCAACAGTCGAGATCAATAAAGTTGATCAAAATTCAACAATGGTTGCTTGTTGGGAGATTGAGAAACCAAATTCAAAGTAATCGAAGATAAATAATGAAGAAAGATAGAGAGAGAGAGAAATGGCAGAATGGTGGTTACATTTCTTTCGAAATGAGCCTTAATTGATGTTGTTGTAGTGGTGGTAAATCTGGGTTAATGGTGGTTGTGTGCTTGGTGATTGGTGGCGGCGCTGATGGAGATGTGTTATCCTTCAATTAATCTGGGTGGTTGGTGGCGGTTATATTCCTGCGAGTTTAAGAGACCAGATTCGAAGTCTTCAAAGACGAATTGTGAAGACAGAGAAAGAGAGAGAGATGGATGAGACTAAGAGATTGATCTAACAGATCCGAAGTCGAATAGTCTATTAGGGCAAAAATGCTCAAAATGTTTTAATTTACAATCCTTTTTTGACCCATTTGATTTGCATATATCCATCTGATTTGAATGGTTAAGTCAAAACTAGCCCAATTTGATGAGTCTTAACTGATTTTTATGTTAGAACGATTTAATCAGGGTACTGGCCCGGTTTAGTGCCCAGATTACCAATTTTTTGGGTCAACCGACGGGGGTGGGTTTTAAAACACTGCACTATACCAATTTCAATTCTTCTCTATAAACACATTGTTAAATTGAAAATCTTATGAAAAAATGGGTAACGAAAATATAATAACTGCCCTACCTCTTACTATTCACGCCAACATAGGGATCGCACATAAGTTTTGTCAAAATATGAAGGACCTTTTTTATACTAAACATTCAATAAAAATAAAGTTAATTTACACACCGAATGGGGACCTTAACCTAATTTCCTGTTTAAAATAAGCAAGGTATCCTATTCTGATGTACCTAAAAGAAAAAAAAAAAAAAAAGCAAGGTGCAATGGCCTACCTTATGGCTTGCTGTACTCTTTCCCTGGCCCCATTTTCGGATCCTATTTTAGGGCATCTCCTATCCTTATTCAAATTTAGACTTAAATTTAAATTTGAGTAAAAAATCTTACTTAAACATTTGACTCAAACTTGTATCAAATCAAGAGAAACTCATTTTTTTTACTAAAATCAAGGGAGATTTAAATATTTAATAGTGAGATTTTACCATTTTTTAAAGATTTAATGATCATTCTTACTCTCTTTTAAATTTGGGTTTGTCCTTATTTAAATTTAGGTCTCTCGTTATTTAAATTTGAGTTTGTTCATTGGAGTTTTTTATATCAAATTAAGTTTTTTACTCAAATGTCAATTTAAATTTAAGTCAAGATTAAATATATTCTTAATCAGTGTAGAGCCACTACTCCATTCCAAACTCGAAACAGAAATATAATAGATGAGATGAGATAATAGAGATAAGAACATATAAGTATTAACGTGGGATGGATTATAAAACATAAAAAAATTGCATGGCTTGTGTTTGCATTCATCTAGTTATGTAAAATTCAAATTTTAGCTGATATATGTAATTTACTTGTGAGTACGTGTATGCAAAATTTGCATTGCAGCAACAAGTAGAAGGATAACATTAGTATGATAAAAAAAATGGGTAAGAAACTGATGGTAGCATGGCACTAATTTTGGTTTCACTTTTGTTAGTTTAAAATTTAAATTTTACTCATTCTATCAACGTTATATAATTTGACCTCTCTCTTTTTTTTTGTTTATTTTTAATTAATCTAGCATTACTTTAAGTACAAAAAATACATGATCCTTCCAATTACTCAGTTATATAAACAATTTATGCATATAGTCTCATCAAGAAGCGAAAAAAGGAAAAAAAAAAAAAAAAAGGGGGATAATCCATATAAGCACAGCCATAGTCCATGAACAGCCCACGTGCCAAAAGGCGAATCCAAGAAGAAAAAAAGAACATAGGAAAGAGAAGAGGGTCTTTACAAGGCATGAAAAGCTCTTCGTCCAAACAACTACTTACAGACACACCACCCCCAACCAAAATGCTTTTTCTACACTTTATTACAACCATTAATCCATTGGAGATAGACCCATATACCAACTTACCAATTTATATCAATGACACCCATCTCTCATCTCTCCATCAAGTCCAAACAGAGCTCGAAACAAAAAGGAAAAAACAAAATTATAGAAAATTATTAGTAAACCCACTCTTGTGCTTTGGAGACTGCAAGTGCATGCAAGCTTGCTGGCAACTCTCAAAGCTGTTTTCTGTATGTATAGTGCATAAAAATTCCTTTACCCTGCACACTACTCACAACCCCATAAGCCAAAACACATGCTCCTCTCTCTCTCTCCCCTTAAATCCATCCATCATCACCCCAACCTCTTCTTCTCTTTCAATCTTCATTCAAGCTTCAAACTCTCTCTCTCTCTCTCCTAATATTCTACTGTGATTTTCTTGATCTGGGTCAATCAAGAAGTGAGCAAAGATGATCACTTTATCAGATTTCTACCATGTCATGACTGCAGTTGTTCCACTTTATGTGGCCATGATCTTAGCTTATGGGTCTGTAAAGTGGTGGAAGATCTTCTCCCCAGACCAATGCTCCGGCATCAACCGCTTTGTAGCTCTCTTCGCCGTTCCTCTTCTCTCCTTCCACTTCATCTCCACCAATGATCCTTACACCATGAACTTGAAATTCATAGCAGCCGATACTCTTCAAAAGCTCATTGTTCTTGCAGTGTTAGCTGTGTGGGCTAAGGTGAGCAAAAGGGGTTGCTTAGAATGGACCATTACACTATTTTCAGTTTCAACACTCCCAAACACTCTTGTAATGGGCATTCCTCTGCTCAAAGGAATGTATGGAGACTTCTCTGGGAGTTTAATGGTTCAAATAGTCGTTCTTCAGTGCATCATTTGGTACACTCTGATGCTGTTCATGTTTGAGTACCGAGGCGCAAAGATGTTGATCTCTGAACAGTTCCCAGACACTGCTGGTTCGATTGTGTCAATCCATGTTGATTCTGATGTAATGTCTTTGGATGGAAGACAAGTTTTGGAGACCGAAACTGAGATCAAAGAAGATGGGAAGCTTCACGTTACTGTTAGAAAATCTAATGCTTCAAGATCAGACATTTTCTCAAGAAGGTCTCATGGGTTCTCATCAACCACTCCAAGGCCATCAAATCTTACAAATGCTGAGATATACTCTCTGCAGTCCTCGAGAAACCCAACTCCAAGAGGTTCTAGTTTTAACCACACAGATTTTTATTCAATGGTCGCCGGTGGCCGGAACTCAAACTTCGGTGCTAGTGATGTGTATGGTGTCACGGCGTCGAGAGGGCCAACGCCGCGGCCGTCTAATTATGAAGAAGACGGTGGCAGTAGCAACAAGTCCAAGTTTCAATACCATGCGCCGCCGGGGAGTACCCATTATCCGGCGCCGAATCCTGGGATGTTTTCGCCTACCTCGAAAACAGTTGGGACCAAGAAGGTTAATGGTCAAGTTCAGCAGCAAAAGACAGAGGATGGTGCCAGGGATCTTCATATGTTTGTTTGGAGTTCAAGTGCTTCTCCTGTTTCTGATGTGTTTGGAGGGCATGAGTATGGAGCCCTAGACCAGCCTGCTAAGGATGTGAGAGTTGCTGTGTCTCCTGGAAAAGGTTGTTTCTCATGTTAATTAGTCTTATTTGTTTACCATTTTAACTATAGGGTAAAATTACTGAAAAATTATTTTTCCGTTTATTATCATTGTAATTTTTTGGATGAAGTTATAATTTTGATCAAACTTTTCCCTTATATGTTTGACGGTGGTTTAATTTTCTGGATTAGCAGTGGATGGTCAGAGGGAGAATCCGGAAAATTATTTGGAAAGAGATGATTTCAGCTTTGGGGATAGAGGCACTGACAGAGAAATGAACAACCATGGAGGTGAGAAGGGTGGTGTTGACAACAAGGGCAAAGCGATGCCTCCAACAAGTGTAATGACAAGGCTTATACTGATCATGGTTTGGAGAAAACTCATCAGGAATCCAAATACTTACTCAAGCTTAATTGGCCTTACTTGGTCTCTAGTTTCATACAGGTGCATGTCACTGTCATTTCCACTAAAATCTTTAGAGCTTCTTCGAGTAGTTGATCTGTTTAGAGTTCTGTATTTTTATGTTTCCCTAACATAGTTTTGGCATTTTTTCTTGCAGGTGGCATGTTGAGATGCCTGCCATTATAGCAAAGTCCATTGCTATACTGTCCGATGCAGGACTTGGCATGGCCATGTTCAGTCTGGGTCAGTACTTAACCCTCTTCCTAGAGTTGCCCATAAAAAAATCTCTCTCTCTCAATTTTAAGATAATGATTATTTGCTAACTTTATACACTATTAAATTAATTTGTGGCGAAAAAGAAAGTTTAAAGCAAAGTAAGCAGACTATGGTCATGATGATTTGTCTGCCTCTTTATTCATCTTTTTCTATCTAGTTTCTCCGTCTTTGTTCTTTTTATGCTTATGGCATGATGAGGGTGCATATATATATATATATATATATATATATATATTTATTTATTTATGTAGGCATATATATATAATGGTAGTGGGGGTGATGATGAATGGTCAATCAAAATGTTCAGTGTGTGGTGACTGACAAGAGGGATGTGGGTACTGTGGTGGTAGCGATGGATGGCATTGATTGGATTTGGTTGGTCACTTGACAGGTCTGTTTATGGCTTTGCAACCGAGGATCATAGCATGTGGGAATTCCTTTGCAGCTTTTGCTATGGCCGTCAGATTCCTTACAGGTCCAGCTGTCATGGCAGCTGCTTCCATTGCTGTTGGCCTTCGCGGAGTCCTCTTACATGTTGCCATTGTACAGGTCATCCTCTCTCTCTCTCTCTCTCTCTCTCTCTCGCAAACACACAGGCCGTCTTCTTTTTCACTTCTTTTTCTGTTGCCTCCTACTGACACACCCAATTAACCAATCTAAGTTTTTTTTTTCTTTTCTTACAAGCTCTGAACGAGTCCAACGTTTGAGGATCTAGACTCCAAGCACTTCCAATAATTCAAGGAACAGTATAATTAGATTACTATTTTCAGATAACTTTCGTTATTATTTTAAAGATTTTAGGATACCACCCATTCGCAACAAGTTACACACTCTCCTCCCCAACAAAAAGAAAAAGAAACGAAAAAGAAAAAACCCCACACATAAAGGAAAAAAGAAAAGAAAAATCAGGATGATTTGCTCCTCCTCTAAATTTTACTGCCTCTGGCAATATCCTATGTTGCAAATGCACTTGCACAATTTGAGTGTTTACATTAGAAAATAAAGTGAAATTGGAAGTTTGAGGCGGGTAGTGGCATGTTGTAAGGGTTCACTTCCGTCTGTAAGTGGTTGTGATCATCTTTCCAAAAAAATAAAATAAAATATAAGTGAAATTAGACTTATTAATAATATTATGCCCTGTATTTTCGTAGCTATTTCAGTTGGCAGTATATTTGGACTTGGGTATTATGACTGAGGTGTGAAAGTTACATTTTCTAATATATTAACCCGTGTACCTCTTTATATGGCATTATATGTACGGGTGTTAATTCAAGTCGAGCTTTTGACAACTTGAACTCGAGCCTATCGAATTCTTTGTTTTAACCGAGTTTAAAAAATTGTTCAAATTTGACTTATTTAAACAATAAGTTGAGTCCGACTTGAGTCCAACTCGAATAATTTAATTATTTTACATATAAACAAGTTGAGTTTTATGAATTCGAGTCGAGTTTAAAAAGTTGTTTAAGCTCAACTGATTTAAAACACGAATTGAGCTCGAGCTTGGTCTTATCCAATCGGATTCCGAATAGTTTGTCTGAATTAACATCCCTAATTATATGTGCACACTCTTGCGCACACAAAAGATCTATCTGCATGATACAAATGAAGGAAAGAAAAGAACTCTTGAAAGGTAGAGAGTAATACTTAGGAAAGGCTGGAAGTAGGAGCAACAACAATAATCCGAAATTAAAAGTAATCTCTATTATTGATTAAATTAAATTAAAAGGATACTTTCCGTCGTTTTTATGCAACTTACACTAGTGCCTGTACTAACCTATTGTTTGCCCTCTCCATGCCTTTGAATTGCCAAAAAAAAAAAAAACAGGCAGCTCTACCGCAAGGAATTGTCCCGTTTGTCTTTGCCAAGGAATACAATGTACACCCTGATATTCTTAGCACAGCGTGAGTATATCTTCTCCCAAACCTGACATTTTTCTTTTTCTTCTCTGTCCTAGTAGTTTGCCAAAACAATACCTCTGTAAAAAAAAATTGCCAATCTAACAAAATAAGTCTTAGTATTAGCTTTTCTTAGACAAGTCCCTTCATTTTAGTTTTTGGCATGCAATTACATAGAGGTTCTTTAACTAACAAAACAAAAAATTACTACGGGGAATATTTTGCAAAAAGTTCAAAAAATTGAGAATATTTTTCCTAAAGAAATTTATTTGGCAAAACACTCATCTCTTTGCCTTCTTTCTCCTTCCCTCATGGATGGCTCATATTGCAGTGTCATTTTCGGAATGTTGATCGCATTGCCGATAACGCTTGTCTACTACATTCTGTTGGGGCTATGAAGTGGATGGAGTTAATCAGAAACTGAGAATCTATGGAAAGCTCTCTGCAAGCAATTATAACATGGACATGGAGACCAAAGGAACAAAGAAAGGAGAAGAAAAAAAAAAGGACAAATGAATGATCTCTTAATGAATTGTCTTTCCTAGAAAAGTTGTAAAATCTTGTTTGTAGTCACTTTTAGTGGAGGAATATTTCTCTAGTTAATTACAGTTCGTCCTTAGTATTATTCCAAGATTTTACAGGCGACATAAAAGTTGAAAAGGTAATGCTTGATGTTATGACGCCCTAGCTTTTACTCCGAATATTCCCTCTGACTGCGGCTAATGTATGGCAAAAAGCTTGTAAATTGGAATCATGTTATAAATTAGGTTTGAATGGTTGAGGAAAGTTATGGCAAGGTGTGAAGTAGTTCATTCATATCGATAGTGTATAGGCCGAATATTAGCCTTGGACCCACTAATTTTTTGGGAAATTTGGAGGCTGATTTTTTTTTTTTGTGGACTTATTTAATGATAAATTCATCAACAAAATTTGTTTATTATTTAGTTTATTTTGATCTTTATTGTCCAAAATACTCTTATTGGTTATATTTAATTACAACAGACTTGAAAATTAACAAAATTTTTAAATTTTAGAAATTTGACTGACATTAAAATTTTCTATCTCTCATATCTATCTAAATTCATATATAGAATATGATTATTTGTTTTTCTCTCTCTTATATATATAATAAAGTAATTAGATTTTTTATCTTTAGTTTTTTGTGAATCAGAGCGCTTGAAAAAATATTGATTTGACGGTTTTAATACAAAATTTCTTCCCTTATTTTTTGAGCAACACTTTTATTACTTTCACAATTCTAAACTCCTATCTATCTCCTTATCTCATACTACACATTTTTTTTTTTTTTGGTAAACATTGACTACAATAAAATTTTATTGATTTGAAGATTAAATTACACCTAACTAAGGGGAATATATGTACATTATCCCTCGATGTAATCTAATTACAAAAAATAAGGAATTTGAAATTCTAATGCATGCTTTTACATGAAAATCATACTACACATTAATTAGGTCATTAATTATGATTCTAATTAAGAATTATTTTTAAAAATTTTAAATAAGTAAATGGAGTTTAAATACTGATTCTTTGTTTCAAAACGAGTTGAATAACTAAAATATATGTCATATTTTGTATTGAAATAAAAATATTATAATATTTGAATAATATAATAAGCGAATAATATATGTATAATTTGTAATATATCTATATATTAAAGGATCTAGTATTAATTTGTGTGTATTTATATATTAAGGGAGGTAGCATTATTTGTCTTTGAACTTTTAATAGTTCAAATTATTTTAAGATTATTTGAAACTTTTTTTGGCCCAAAAATTACAAGAATTCTTTCATTGTTTTGACTATGGGTTTGGAGTTATTATGATTAGCATTCGAATTGAACTGAATTTAATTATCGAGTATAAAGTATATATTCTTACTTAAACTTAACTTTCTTTGAATTTTACGAGTATTCAAGTTAAAATCAAACTGAAATTGATTGTGAAAATAATAAAAAATAATTACGTCAATTCTCAATTTGACGTAATTAAAATTATTACTCAAATTGAACTGAATTTGATTGTTGAGTATAAAGTATATATTTTTGCTTAAATTTAAAAATAGGGTTATTTCCACCTCCCAAATCTCCATTCCCATCTTATTTAATTTCTCATTATCAAACTATTAAGTCCACTATTTATATATCTATCTCATTATTAACTAAGTTAACCTTATGCTACATACACCCATTTTAAAAAAAAAAAAAAAGAACGAAATAAGGAAAGAAAAAAAGAAGCAATAAGGAAAAAGAAAAATTAAGCAAAGATATGAAAAAAAAAAATGCAAAACCACAAGATGTAAAACCAGATATGAAAAAAAAAATTATTAAGCACAAACACAAACACAAACATAAAATCGAACGAGAAAAAAAAAGTATAGATGTAAAATCTAAATAAGATAAAAAAAAAAAAAGAACAAACAATCTAAAAGCATATATATATGTACACAGATATAAATTTTAAATAAAAAATTATTAAACTTGACAGATATATTAAAACATACATAAAATAATAAAAATTTATACAACAAATATGAAATTAAATATAAAGTTATATTGAAAAAGTATTTTTGCGAGTGCATGAGATGAAATAGAGAATGAAACCCTAATTATGAAAAAATATAAGATGAGTTTACTTATTCAATGAGGTGTATGTAGAATGGGGTATACTTAGTTACTAATAGAGTGAGTATAGAAGGGGTGAGTTTATTAATTTGATAATGAAAAATTAAATGAGGTGAGAATTGAGATTTGTGGGGTGAGAATAGTTTCATCCAAACTTAAATTCGATTGAATTTTACTAATATTTAAGTTAAACTCAAATAGAAATTAATTATAATTTCTTAACAATTTTTTTTATATTTACGATAATTCATGTGAAACTTTTAGAGTTTTCCTCATAGAAGTTACACGAACTCATATTATAAAAATAGTACAGAGATAATGTTTATGAACTTTAGGTAAAAACTTGTATAAAAATAAATAGTTATATTTTTTTTGAAATTTGAGATAAAGTTTATTAAAAATATTAAATTTGTGAATGTCTGATCAATAATAACTATATTTTCTACGATTTTTGAATAAACATATTGCAGTAATTGTAGTGTGACTTTCATTATATAAAAATTTGATTATATGTGTTTTGCATACATATTGAACAATATCAATTTGATCGTTGTATTGTTGAAATTGTATTATACATTGTCTTTATTTATGAAAAAATATTTACAATTTTGTATAAGTAACGTCGTTCTTTCAAGTATGAACAATTATTAGTATATATATATATATATATATATATATATATATATATATATATATATATATATATATATATA